ATTACAGATAAACACATAGATAAGTTACAAGTAGTTCAGGCTTAAGAGACGGGCCTAAATAATGTAACATGAATAGATATGTTACCGGCAAAGTTACAACATATAATGGAAAAGATCTTGTTTACAATACAACCCCTCCTCCCACATTAAGCCGTAACGTGCTGGTGATAGACCAGTCATTGTGAGAAAGAGTTTGTGTACAACCATATTAACACGAATTTCTCATAAGGATCAATAAGGTATTGGATGTACATAAAGATCCATTGGTATATTGTATTGGTTTAAGACAAAGTGATCATGACACTTTAATAGTAGCAAGAACACCGAAAAAGCCCGACACCAAGATTCAACATGGTAATACAGGACTGTTTTGTTAAGCCAATCATGGTAGGTCACTTAAAATCCCAATCGTGATCTTTCAGATTGCGTGAATAAAATCAAAATTGAGAACCACATTATTCATTCACTTGATCACATGATGGCAATATCTTTTTACTTACACGCTCCTGCATATGATAGTACACTAATTTACTAGAGGATCCAACATCTTAGTGGCTAGTTAATATACAAAATATATCTAGATAATGCATTATGGGGATGCCTATGCATACGATCTTTCACCATCATGAACCCTAATTTAACTCAAGACTGAGAGTCGTGGACTGAAGGAATGCTAACCTCATTTCTTTCTTTTTTTTGGATTTCGAATAAAAACCCCTATTCTGAAAACCTGAATTACTTCCCACCATCAAACCTTGACCCTAGCACTCCCAAAGTGTTAACACCAATATGGATTTCAACAACCTTCCAGCCATCCAAGTTTAGCCTTTTCCATCATATGCAAACAATAAAACTTATATGCAGTCTTGAAAGTTTGAAACTTCCAAGAAAAACCTACACTGAATATTTATGACCTTTTGAATCCTCTACCGCGCCTATGCCTTTATGAGTTAACACATTCAACTTCTTGCACAAATATCCCATACACATAATGAGGATTGCTCAAACTATCAAGACACTACCTAAATAAGCCTATCTTCGAAACAAAAGGAAGGGCCCCCCGGGCCAGGGGGGTTGGGGAATAGCACTTAAGTGTGTTAAGCTATCCTTATTGGTTAGCCATCGGATTTGCTTAAGTTCTCGATAATTTAAAAGACTTATAACGCTTTCATCTTGAGAAATGTTAGATTAGAAGTTCCAGCATCCAACTCTATTAAGTACCCACTCAACAAAGAGCAATGGATGTGTAATCAAATGTACAGAGAACGTTTGCATTGTATTTTGTGCAAAAAGGTATGATCAGCAAAATTAAAACCAAAATGCAGAATTCGCATACTTACCAGAAACATAATTCCTATCATTCTTCGCACACAAGTTACCACTGCAAGTTATCTCCAAACTCCCCTCAACGCCACCACATTTGCTGCCTCCATGCTTATTTCCACAATCGCCCAAATCACTATGCACTTGGTCACCAATCACCCCATTAGGCAAGCCCAAATTTCGGCCCTCATTTTTCGAACTTGAGCTCAAATTCTTGGCCTTTCGAACCCGCCCTTTAACAAGCTGCCTCAAGTTGAAAACCCTGACTCCATTATCTTCTCCTAGGATCAAGAACCCAAACGAAATGCTAATCGACCAAACAAGCTTGCAACACTCAATGACAGCACACCTCATCAACTTCACAACCACCCCATCATCGCCAACTGCTTTCACAGCAAAAACCGAAATCTGTGAGCTCGAAACTGAGTACATGGCGAAGAAATTGACGGACCCGGCAAGCTTAATCGAAACCCCATGATAGGCATCAACCAAAACCCCCAATTTCCCATCAAATTTCAGCCCTTTCTGGGTGCAAACAACTTGAGCCCTCACGAATTGCTTCTGGTTCTGCAGAATGTAGAACCTGAGCAGGACCTGGGACCCACCTTTGTGAGGGCCGGAGGCAATGAAGAGGGTCCAGGTGTTGGGGCTAGAATTAGGGTTTTGCAGAAGGAGGAAGGTGGAGGATGATGAGGGAGGGGCAATTAGGGTTTGGGGAGGAGGGAGGGAGGAGAGGGAAAGAGGGGAGGGGAGAGAGGGGTAGAGAGAGAAAGTGGAGTCAGAGTGCATGAGGGCTAGAGAGAGAGAATGGGGTTCAAATTGGAGGGACGTTATTTGGGGAGGGGAGGAGAGAGAAGGGTTTGGGAGGCTGAGCTTGGAAGCTTGGACAATTACCATTAGAAGATGAGTGAGAAGAAAGAAGAAGAAGAAGAAGATGATGAGACCCCAACAAACAAAACCACCACAACTGCCTGTCTGAGATTTTTGTCAGTTGGGTTGTTGGAGGAGCAAGAGGAGCATTGTCTTTGAATTTTTGTTCTTTTGGGTTTGGTTTGGTTTTGGGGGAGGGTTTGAGATTTGATACTTGTAATTTGACGAGAGATCCAAAGTTGCAGAAATAAGTCTAAAGGTTTAGGCTTGCTGTCAATTTGCTAATCCTTGATTATTATATTTCTTAAGTAGTCATGTTGTCCTCCTTAACAAGGTTTAGAACAATTTCCCTTTCTATTTCTGAATAAATTATTAGAAAAATGGTCCTTGTTAACAGACAAGGATCTTCTTTGTGAGGATCTGAAGATTAATCAATCGTGTTCATTTATCGTATATCGTAGGGCTAGTTTTCGTTAGGTGTTATTTATATTCAATTTTAAATTAAAATTTTAAAATAATTTCTAACCAAACGATGTACGATGAACAGATACAATTTATTGATCATCCGAATCCCTACAAAGAGGATCCTATTCCCTCGTTAACAAGGTTTAGAACAATTTCCCTTTCTATTTCTGAATAAAATATTAGAAAAATGGTCGAGAAAGATATTTATCTTTTGCAATTATAGGAAAGTAAATTGATACAAATGCATAAATAAATTATAATTTTGAGAGATTAGGTTAACTTACTTATGGTGCTGATGTCGAATTACTTTTAATTGATCATAATTTAACTCATCGAGTAATTTGCACTGCTTATAACTTAACTTATCTAATAATCACATCATATCTTGTATCAAATAATTAATTAACCTAAAATTTAATGAATGTTTCAGTGTGACGTAAATTACCACATGGACTATCAATTTACTTATTTTGAAATACGGTGAAGTGATTTAGTCCCTGAACTAACACTTCAATGAAAATTAGGTATATGAATTATTTTTCGGTAAAATAAGTTCCTAAATTCATTAAAATTTGCTAATTGCATCCTTACTATTATATTGAAAGCTATTTTATCCAATTTTTGTCAACTTAAGTCACTTAATACACTTTAGAGTGTAATACCGTCATTTTCTTGCTTTAAGCTCTTAACATTTCATATAGGTTGTGAATCTAATGTCTAATTTATTCTCCAAAGTTAACTTACACTATTTCTTGTTAAAAACTACCAATGTACCCTCCAATGTGTATCACATACAAGTAACATGACTTGAATTGAAGGAAAATTGAATATAATAGTTTCGAATATAATATTAGGGATGTAATTGACAAATTTTTATAATTCAATGACTGATTTTTCTGAAGAAAAAAAAATAGTTTAAGGATCTAATTTTCACTGAAATGATAATTCGAAGACTAAATTGACAATTCACCTTTTGGAATATCATGTCATGTTCAGAATTCACTTGCATTCACTTCAAGTCAAGTTAAAAAATTATCACACTTGTCACTTAGTATTACGGTCTAATAGTATTCTTCTTCACATGTAAGTGAGATGTATTTATGTCAAAGATGAATTTGAACTACATTATTGTTAATCCATTGTGAGACTTAGCCCCACTCTCCACCCTCTTAGTGTAAATAATATATTTTTGTTCAAAATTAAAAAAAAAAAAAGTTATCACACCTAGTAATAAGATAGACACTGATTTTGTTGCCTAGTTTGGTCATGACTTCGGGGGATTCTAATATGTAATCATATTTATCTCACTTGCCTTGTGACGTGATGTATACTAATGGCGGTATTCTTGGTGAGCTTGGCATCCTAATGGGCTTCTTAATATCCTAATAAAATGAAGGGGCGAATAGTTTTGTAGCATAGTTCTTTGTTAATTTAACTCTTGATTACAAAACAGAGAACAAAAAACTTCCTAGCCTCTAAAGGCCGATTCGATCTTTCCTCCTCCACCTCTCTTTTCTCTTGTGGTCTCTCTCACCTTTCTAATGGTTTTACGCTCGTTTCGTGGTTTGGAATATGTTATTTTCTTGAAATTGGACTTGTAACTTAGCTCATGTTTGATGAGCTAAATTGTAATACAGACTGGATTCGGAATAAAAGATTGAGTTCATAATAAGATGGGTTATGTAACTTGACACAACTCATGGATTATGAAGCCAATCCCCTCAGCCTTCGTCGCCATCCTCTTTTCTTTCTCTGTTCAGGCGACAAAGTCTAGCATTCCTTAATTTCGACGAGCTGACCTCTTTGCGACGTTTTGTAAGTGTTGCGAGCGTTGTGGCGGGTCTTAAGCGGCATCGTGAGTTGATTATTTGATGGGTTGCGAGGGGTTGTTGCAGTGAGAGATGGATGGTGGTTGTTGTATGCTTTTATTTATTTCAATTTGAACCTATTCGGTTGAGTTGTTTACACCAAATTAGGGACAACTATCCCAACCTCTCCCTTCCAATTCTAACCTAACCATTCCAAAATACATAACATATCATGTTCAGTCGATCAAACGGTAATCCTACCTTTGCAGGTTGACGAAGCCTTGAACCGATTTTTTGTTATAAACTCGTGGTGGTTGTACTCTTCACATCAGTCTTTATCTAGTTTGACTCTTCTTGGAGATGAAATTGTTTGGTCATATTTCTGAGATTCATTTCTTGAGAGTGTTACTAAACAAGTATCAAAAGTTGCCATGACATTTGATATATAAAAGGGAAACTTCTGGTACTGTTTACTTTAACGAAAAACCACATTTTTATACCTAAAAGTCAATCCTGGTACTATTCACTTTACCCTTTATTTTGTTCTTATCTTAAAATTCAAAGTTTTCAAATCATTTTCATTAGTTTTCCTTATATAAAATGCGTTGTTCAAAACGATACATTGCCTTCAAAACACACAAAACATTTAATAAAATACCAAATTCATCCAATTCCTCTCATTCCTTCTGCAATTCTCATCAGTTGGTGAAGTTGGACACGGTGGCATGGGCCTCACAGGCATTGGCAGCAGGGCTGGGCTCCACACCAGGGCCGGGCTCCACAACCTTCACATTTGTAAGCTCCTCAGGCAAATCCTCAATCCCCTTCAGATAAAATGTGTACAAAATCTTGAAGGGGAACAAAATCTGGTGCAGCTTCACCTGCCCGTACGCCCCTTCGAAAATCCCAGACCCACCAGTCACAGCCAGATACGTGTCCTCGTAAGTCAAGTACGGCCCCTGAACCGCCACGTGGCCGTAGTTCCCGAAATAGAAGCTGTAAATTGCCTCGTATCGATCTCCTTTCTTCTCCGGCTTGTTTTCGATCAAAATGCAGATTCCCGCCGTTATCCCCAACCGTTTCTGAAGATCTCCGGTGTATATCTGCAATTACATTCAGACCACGGGGGTATATTAGCAAATGTAAACCTAATCCAATGAAAATTTATTTGTAAATATAATTTTTAAAGGAAAAGGAAAATACTTTGTTAGTGAAGGGCACAAGGTCTCCGAGGGCATGCACAGGTTTCTGGCTTAAACTGAGATACGCAGGGCTTGAACGATCTCGCTCGTTGATCTCGTACACGTTGAGTTCTTGAACTTTTGCTGCAGAAAAAAATGAAACAGCAACGTTTACCATCAATTCAACACAATATGTGACACATTGACTCAGTTAATCTCGCGCACTAAACTATACATCTGTTGAATTTCAAACAAGATAGTATTTACGTTGATGGATGTCCGTGAACATAAATGATGACGAAAAAAACAAACTACCGAGACACGAAAGTTGAGTTTCGAGAAAACTAGAGGGTACTACAGGGAAGAAAAACGTGTTTTAGCCGTAAGATTATTGCGAAAGAAAAATGAATAAACACTAACTGGGTCTTGAAGAGCTTGAGCAGGCCATTGCAGGAGTCTTTTTGTTTCTCTCAGTGGGAATTAGCAAAGAATGTATTGTGTTGTGGGGAAGTGGAAGTGGAAGAGAAGGTGTTTATATAGAGAGCGAAAAAGTTTGATTCATGGTGGCATTTGATCACGTGTGGTTTTTGGTTAAGTGGATTGTCGGTGAAGTCAAAGGGTCTTCGTCAGGATGTGAGAGTGATGAAATGAGATAAACATGTGAAGAAATTGGGAAGTGAAAAGTGTGGCAACTTTTATGGCCGGTGGAGCCTCCCAAGCGGTGGTGGCCAAGCAAACCAAACGTGCACAAAACAAGTCAAAGAGTCGGAAGGAGAGTCCAATCGTTGTAATGGGGAATTAAAAGTATTATACACTTGTGTAATGATTGGGCGTTAAATGTAGGAACAATGATTTAATGATCACATGTCGTATGGTATACATCAGTGTACAATAAAAATCTCGACACTAAACTTCAAACAATGATAAATTATGCTTGGATTTATCTATTTATAAGTTTGATGTTCGCGTCAACTCACAAGTTGACCGACATACAAAACGTACGGGTTAAAATAATAGTTTTGTTTCAATCTACCACTCATGTGTAGTTAAAATAATAGTCAATTGATAGGTAGGTCAACACATAAAATAAATTTAATTTTTTGTTAAAATGGTCCATGTTGTTTGGTCCCTAATAATGAAAATTGATAAAAGTGGTTATTGAGTTTGTCTAAATTATTTGGTATTTTCATTATATTTTATGTTAGCCATATGGATAACCATAAAAACTTATTCTTAAAAAAAAAAAAAAAAAAAAAAAAACTGAAAAAAAAACCTTAAAAAAAGGATTTTATTATTAGCACTCCACTAATTGTTGAACACTTAATATTTATTGTTAAATGATTTATATAAAATGACTATTTAAACCTTAAAAAGTAAAGAAAAACAATTATTTTCTTCCTACGCCTCAAATCGTTTAAAAAATCCTAACCACCCGTAAATTATATATAATTTTATATACACGTGCACTCACAATGTCTTGTGATTATGTTTATATATATAATGTTAAAGATTCTGCAACATAAGAGATGAAGTACTTTGAAATATTCATTTCTTTGAGATAGTGTAGTATTGTTTTTTTTTCTTTTGCTAAAAATTTTCAGGTATGTTTGCTGTTTGTTTTTTAGGATGGTTTGTGGTGCAATTTTGCAGAACAGAGAATCTGCACGGACACATCAATAGCACAATCAACTAGTCCTTTCATGATTTTTTATTTCAGAAAAGCCAGCAAAGTAGCCATTTCTGAGTTTAAAATCAAATTCACATCTAAAGCCTAATTCCCCTAAATTGACGAAAACCTTGAAGCAGTAGAACCATGCGCACTGTTTGTGTGCTAAAGGCAAAGGGTTTAAATTTATTTTTTTGGACAAGATGAAGACTTGTAGATTTTGGTGTGGGGGTGTATGAAATGTGTGGGGTGTGAGGGTAGTTTTGGTTAGTAAGTGGGGTGTATTAAGATATTTTTAAGTTTAAAAAGTAAGTGTGAGATGTTTTAAGTATGTGAGGTATATTCAACAATATGTGGGGTGCTAATAAAACAACAAAAAAAAAATCATCATTGAACTGGTGGGATATTAACTATAATTTAACGAAAACCTAACAAAAGAACCAAATGGACAAACTTTAGGACTACTTCTATTGATTTTTCATTGTTAGAGACCAAGCTGTTAAGTTATATCAATCTTATGAACCATTTTGGGTAACAAATATTTGAATGGTTTCATGAACAATATTTATATTTATATTCTAATCATATATACATTGGACCCTATATTGGAATAGACTTCGAAATGTCCAAAATTACAACCCTACAAATGGATGGTGGAAAATTGGGTATGGGCTGCGTGTTATAAACAAAAAACAAGGTTCTCTAACGGGCGAGCGCATCTGGTGTAGTGGTATCATAGTACCCTCCCACGGTACTGACCAGGGTTCGATTCCCTGGATGCGCATTTCCTTTCCTTATTTTTTCTTTTCCTCATTTGCATCTCGGCTCCAAGTTCCAACCAAATCGGCCTCAAAGAATGCACACTTCCACTTTGCGTATTTCTGGGTCTCCTCCGACCTCCATTTGCCTTTTCTTTGTTCGAAAGAAGAAACTTAAAATCCGTTAAATTTGAAGTGCCTCAATGTGTCTTTCCCTCCATTTGGACCATTTCCACAGACAATTCCAATCATCTTTTTAACGCTACTTCTTCTTGCTATTGCATTTGTGCACCCATATATCATAGAACTGCAGAAATACAACAAAACCATCAAGTTAATAGGGACCTGCCACATGTAAAGCAGCAAGACCTGTTGCTAGGGAACAGTAGCAATAGATAAGCAGGTCCAAATATATGAAATACAAGCACGAATGCCCGCGCTTTGCTGCGGGTTTTAAGAACACTGTTCAAGACAATACTATTAATATATAAATAAGTTTTGAATAAATCAATATTTACATGTCTGGTGTTTGAGAAGATAAATGAGCAACACATTACAATGATCAAAAGATTAAATGCTGATTATTAGAAATAGTTCAATAGACTATGAACATGTTACATAATCTTGATTTTCCTACTTCACTGTTTCCGGCTCATCTTCATCTTCATTATGTGGAGGTTTTCGGTTTCAGCTAGTTCCTACAAACTTTGAAAAAAAAAAAAAAAAAACCAAATGAACGTGGCATGGCAAAAAAATTGAGGTGGAAAATAAATTAAAAAAAAAAGTAATTAGAAAAAACAGAGAGCGAATGATGCTATCCAATGTACTTAATTTATCTTAAGTATAAAGACAGTTGTATATACTTCTTGACCAAATGAGATAACATCAAATTCGAATGAACTAATAGAGGCATTAATCATAACTTAGGCATTCATTGTTATCATTCTAAAGTTGATGACATACTGTAAAGTAACAGTTTATTTCCATTGGATAATTTGATTTCCCAAATTCCAAAAAAAAAAAAAAAAAGAAAAAAAAAAAAAGAATACTAAACATTATTACACATCATCACAACATCCCGTCTGTCAAGAATCAAATCCAAAAGCAGAATTGGGTAAACAAATGAGAGATTAGAAACATAGAATATATTGAGCGAACTTAATTCAAAATCTCCAATTTACCTGAAACATAGAATCACAAACCTCAAAGTATTCATTGCTGAACTCTTCTTTTTTCAGCAATTCTTTCAAAGTGACGCCAAATCCTCAGATATGAATCCAGTTCTTCTCTTCGTCTTTCTCTAATTGAAATTGAGTTATCTGGTGAAGTGGTGTTAAAGTTTACGTAAGTGTCAAAAATGAACTTCTTTGCAAGAGAATACAATAATTTATGATAAAAATCTTTAAGTACCAATCAGCTCTTAAAAATCTAAATACGTATTTCAAACTGAGCATGTCCATTCAGCTCTTAAAAACTGGAAGAAAAGATTTAGGTTTCTTTCTTACCCAAATCCACCAATTTGAATCAAATCTCTGCAGCCTTTCCAACCAAACGCAAATTAATACAACTCTACAATCAATAAACAAAAGCAAGTTAATACAACACTGCAATCAATAAACAAAACCCAAACTTTTAAGAATTAAAATCATCAAAAATTCAACAAAGAAAGAGAATCCAGAAACCAAACCTATCAATCAATTCCTAAAATCAACAGTAAAGAAAATTTTTCAATAAATAAGCATCTAACTCCACAAATAAACAAAACCCATATCAAATAATTCAAAAAAATTAATAACAACACCAGAATTACCTTCCAAGAGATGGAGACTCCGAGTAGGCTTCCAATAATGATTTGACCGATAAGAAAATAGTTGTAGGTCATGGGATATCACTTTGGGATTTTCATGGTTTACCTTTTCTTTCAAAATGGGTTAATACTTGATCATCCAATCCTCCAACCTTCTGTTTCTCAATCTTCTGCAAGAGGATTGAAATCAGAACCATTAAGTTTAGAAAAAACAAAATCAAGGAAAAAAATGGTGTCTCCTACTTCAAACAATGAAAATGCAAATATTTGATACCAATTATCCTTGGGATGTAAAAGAAGGCAAGTGTGGATTGCTTACTCAAGCTCAATTGAAGTTGAACAGGTCAGAGACAGAAACAGAAGCCAAGGAGGAGATATAAAGGTCAAAGTTGAATTTGTGGATCAGGCAAGTTCGAGAGCCACAAACAAAAACCTAAAAAAAAAAAAAAAACCCCCGGGTGAGCCAAGTTCGAGAGCGATAGATTCAGATTTTTTTTTTTTTAATATATATACAACTAATTTACCATTCAATCATATTAGTGGAAAACAATTAAACCGTAAAATTAAACCCTCCCGCTTCCTCAAAAATCTAAATTAATCACAATAGTCAAATTCCAAACAGAAGAATAACAATAATAATTTGATAATTGTTTGGTGAGATTATACAGAGAAAATCTTGCCTCGAAACCTGGTGGAGCTTCAAGCTGCTTCTACGACGATGTCGTTTTTGCCAAGAACAGGTTCCTGAAGCGAAATAGGGCTGAAAACGAAGATTGCAGCAAGAGCTACACTGCGATAAGGGTACGAAATTCTGGAAGCAAATGAAAGAGCCCTGCTTTTCCAACCTTCTTCCCTGCTTTCACAGCTTTTTCCATCCCTGGATCCCTAGAAAATCACCAGATTATAAATTTCTTTGGCAAAATCTAAAGCAGGATAAATTGCTTACTTTCCGTAAAAAGGGTTATGGAAAATGCGCGGATTGCTAAATCATGAAATCATCCAAAAACCCGTAGAAAATTGAAAATTGCATGTAAGCAAAAGCTCAAGAATTTTACACAGAAGAACTAACTTTCAAATAATTAAATATATAATTACGGGAGAAACGATACCTGTGTATGGAGGTGCTTCAATGGAGGGGAGAGAGAGTGTGTGCGTGTGTGGAAGAGAGAGAAGCTCCGAAATCGGGAGAGAGAGAGAGAGAGAGAGAGAGAGAGAGAGAGAGAGAGAGAGAGAGAGAGGAAGAGAGAGAAGCTCCGAAATCGGGAGGAAGAAGCCGCGAGTAGGTTTTTGGTTTTTAGTTGCTTCGGCGAAGGAAGAGGTGGAAGATAAGTCAAGCTGGGTTCGTCTGCGAGAGAAAGATTTGACAGAAGTGAGTCGGTGAGAGCAGTGCGAGAAAGAAGCAAGTCGAAACATCGAGAAGGAAGAACCACGCGTCACCATTTTGTTCCCACACCGTAGCAAACCGGCAAAGGTGGAATAACAAAAAAGAAGCAGGGGCAAAAACGGAATCACACTGTACTATGAACAGTGTTTTAGTTCATTTTCTCTTTTAGTATATATATAATTTGCCTCTAGGGGCGAGCAAGCACGATTTGGTGTCGTTCGGTTTTAAGGGTAAAATCGAAATAGAAATAGAAATTTATTGCACTTCGATTTCCAGGTAAAATCGAAATTGAAATTTATTGTGATTTGGTTTGATTTCAAACGATTTTGGTTTCGGTTTGGGCCTAACTTATAGGCCCGTTGAAAAATTGGGCTTACCTTATAAGTCTGTTTCGATTTACAGTTCCCAATCATTCTTTTAATTTTATTTTCGTAGTGTTTTTTAGTTTGTTTTGGCCCCCAAACGGGAGAGAAGAACAATTAATAGTAACTAAAACCCAAATTGATAACCACCATACTAAAATTCAAGGAAATCATTTTAGGGTTTGTTTCAAAACCAAAAGGGGAAAATAAATCCCAGCAACCAATAACCATTATACTACAATTCATGTATCAAAACAAATTTTCTAATTAAATTGATTTTTTTTTAATATTATGCAGTTCGGTTCGTTTCCAAATATTAACCGAAACCAAAACATTATTTTAGTTTCGGATTTGTTTCAAACCTAAACCGTTTCAAAAATGCAAAATTCGAACCGTTCAGTGAGTCCCTTTTGATCCATGTTTCGATTTCAATTTTTGATCCGAAGCGCCCACCCCTATTTGCCTCATTCTTTTGGAAGTAGGATTTTTTATTTTCCCACCAATTATAGTTTTACTCATATGTATAAACCTTTTATTTTGTATTTTTCTGTGAGTTATTTATGCATACATGTCGAACTGTGAGTATATAATCAATAGGAATGCAGTAATTTCTACTTCCAAGGAAGAAGAATCGCAACGTCTATTAATAAACATATCTTAATGTAAGAAAAATGAATATCTAGTGACGTTTAAGTATGTGGACAAGAAGCTTCAAGTTATTTAAACTAAATTGGTGTCACTCAAACTAAACGCATGGCAACGAATACCTAGTAGTGGGAAACGTGTGGCCATTTAGTCAAATACATGAATACAATACTTTAAAACCATTCTAAAATGTAACCATCCAAGCATTTCAAGGTGATGAGAGTAGAAGCATGAGATCATTTAACGTATTTTGTAAAACTTTAATATTCGATGCGAAACACTTTCAACACCATACGAAACTTGCACATAATGTTGTATAATTGACACAGAAGGTCATGCTGACGGTATCTTCAACGTCTCTTAAAAGTCTGCATTGGACTCGACACATAAATTTGGAATGCTTTGGTCCAACCAATTAACTCGATTTCCCTTCCATCTTTATGTGTATGCTGGTGCATATAAATCCAAAGTTTGAAAGCCGAAAAACCCCACCCTACACCTAGTGAGAAAACAAGGACGAAAAAATAGGAAAACCTCGCCAAAAACAGATCCGATAAATGCGTTGATGGGTCTCATCTTTATATACAAGAATAAGACACTACAACACAAACAAACGCCCCTTTCAACATTAAGCATTCCAATTGTGTTTGTGTTTGTTGTAAAGATATAGACAGTTGAGATCACTCCATCAACAATCAGGAAGGTGACACTTGACGGTAGATTAGTTGATAAGTGGTGTTAGGGTTGTTGAGAATCAGTTAGGGTTGTTAAAGATTGTTAAGTGTCGGTTGCTTAGTGTGTAAGTAATGTAATTACTATAAATAAGGGTCCATGCATTCCATTGTAAGTGTGAAGAAATAATACTAGAAAAGTATTCCTTTCTCTCTAGCTCTTCCATCTCTTTCTTCTCTAAATTCTGTATCGTAAATCTCTCCCTCTCTAAACCACCATTGTTGAACTTCAAGCTCCAGTACAAGTATTTCAACATGGTATCTTTGCCAGGACTGGTTTCCTTTCTCTGATCCTGATCGTCTTTGCTTTCGCGTTCGATTTTGCTGCTCGTGTGGTATGTGATTTGCTTTCTCTGTTGCTAAGAACACATTTTGTATGAAGATTTTGGTCGATCTTGACTTCTCCATCAGTGCATATCAAATGTTTGATGAAATGTATGTGCTGCTTCTTCTGTGATATTTCTTGGTAAAGTTCTATTCATTCTTTTCTTCAAAAACAAGAATTAAAGAAAGGTCTTCAATTGAAACCCTAATTTCTAGAGAAATTGTATATGTTCTTCTTTTCTGCCTACAAGATTTGAGTCAATATGTTGACTGCTGCACAACTACAAATTGTGCAATCTCCAATTACAAGTTTAATTCCTAATGTGTTTACGTCTGTGACTGTCAAATTAGATGATACGAATTACTTAGTTTGGCATTATCAAATGCAATTGCTTCTTGAAAGCCATGAAATTCTTGGTTTTGTGGATGGTTCTCGTAAATGTCCAGCTCGTTTTATTGATGATTGCAATATTGAGGGGATAGAAACTGATGCATATCAAGTCTGGAAAATGCACGATCGTGCTGTCATGCAACTTATCATTGCAACTCTATCTGTTACTGGTATGTCATGCATCATTGGATGTACTAATGCACATGAAATGTGGGTAAATCTTAAAGATCGTTTCTCAACTGTTACAAAAGCCAGTATCTTTCAATTGAAAACTAAGCTTCAGAATATTAAAAAGGGATATGAGTCAGTATCTCAGTATTTACAACGAGTTAAGGATGCTCGTGATCATTTGGCTGCTGCTGGAGTACCTTTTGATGATGATGATATTGTCATTATTGCTCTTAAGGGATTGCCATTCGAGTATAATACTTTCAGAATAGTTGTTCGAGGGAGAGATAATATCATTTCTCTGAAAGATTTTCGAGCCCAATTACTTGCAGAAGAAGCTAACCTTGAAAATTCTCAGTTGACTGGATCTTTTATACCTACTATGCTCGCTCAAGGTGATAGTTCCAAAGGTAAGGGTCTCTTGCTTGCATAGAGTTTGTCCCATTTGCCTGATTCCTCTACTTCATCATTTCAGTATCAAATTGGCAGTTCCTCACATTCTAATGATACTTCTGCTAGTTATCACAATGAGGGTCATAGTTACAACTCTGGAGGATATAAGGGTTCTAATTTTCGAGGAAGGAATAGGGGCAGGAACAACTATGGCAATACAAGGTTTTCTGGTACCAATATTAATACCAGTCTTGGTATTTTTGGACCTGTAAGACCTCATATCTCCATATGTTCTGAGCATAGTAATGATGTCCCAACATGTCAAATCTGCAACAAGCGAGGACATATTGCTTCTGACTGTTTTCAGCAGCACTCATCCACTACAGTGTCTTCTTCTCCCATGCAATGCCAAATCTGTTGGAAATTTGGGCATTCAGCTATACAATGCTATCACAGGGCCAATTTTTCATACCAAGACATGTCTCCTCCATCAACTCTCTCTGTTATGCATGTCAATTATCAACCTTCTGTTCCCCAAGAATAGTTTTGGGTCGCTGATACTGGTGCAACCTCCCATATGACCTCGGATTTGGCTAATCTCAATTTGGCTTCACCTTTTACAGGTGGTGACACTATAACCACAGCTAGTGGTTTAGGTTTGCCAATTTCTCATACTGGTTCTTCGACTTTAAAAGTGCCTACTTATGTTTTAGAACTGAAAGAAATATTGCATGTGCCTGAGCTATTTCAACACTTGCTATTAATATATGAGTTGTGTAAAGACAATCACTGTAGGTTTATATGTGATGAGTTTTTTTTCTGGATTCAGGACAAGATCACGGGGATAACTCTACATCAAGGGCTGTGTAGAGCTGGATTGTATCCCATCCCATTTCATACACCTTCATCCACTGTCAAAGAAGCATTCAAAGCACCTCACTTACTTGCACAACATCACTGCCTTCTTAGTCATCATGTAAATTCATCTCTGTGGCACAACATATTATGACACCCCTTTAATGTTGTCACTACAAGAATGTTGAACAAATCTCAAGTTCCTTTCTT